GGCAAATAATTTATCACAGCACTGTATGATCACTGTATTCTCTTCTCTTTACTGTAATCTGCTGTTTTATGTATTTGTATTTTGTCTAATTCTAGGAGGAGCTCAATACAGCACTGAAGTCCTTACAGGAGAAACTAAAAAAGAGAGAAAAAATGAAAGAAGAGTTTGAGAAAACAGTTCAACACATCAAGGTGAGGAAACAGAATCAAGAGTCATTTTCAGTACAGGTCCAGCATCACTAAACACAATTATCATATTATATATTTAATATAATGGATTCCAGCTGATTATCTTTGTAAATGACGAGCAGCAATTTGCTTCTGGATCTGTTATATGTCGGGTGTCTGAGTTTCTCTGGGATCTGAATAATGTGATGTGTTGATTGAGATGATTGAAGTGAATGTGATTTGATTTCAGTCTGAAGCTGAGCACACAGAGCGTCAGATTAAAGAGGAGTTTGAGAAGCTTCATCAGTTTCTCAGAGATGAAGAAGAAGCTACAATCACTGCACTGAGGGAGGAAGAGGAGCAGAAGCAGCAGATGATGAAGGAGAAGCTGGAGGAGATGAACAGACACATCTCAGCTCTTTCACACACAATCAAAGACACGGAGGAGATGATGAAAGCCAGCGATGCCTGCTTTCTGAAGGTGACAACTGAATTTAGCTTCTTTGTTTGTGCCCAAAACAACTCACCAATTACCCAACCAATGATCAATTAATTTGTATAGAGAGAAAATGAACTGTTATGAGTGTTTGATGAGATATTAAAATGTTTTTCAAACTCTATATTTTCCAGGACTTTAGCATCACGATGGAAAGGTAAGTTGAGCTGCTGGTGTTTCTTCTCTCAGTGGATCTGAACTCAAATCCACTGCAGTTCTGACTCCTGAATGTTCTTCCAGAGTCCAGATCTCACAGCCGGATCCACAGATGAGTTCTGGAGCTTTGATTCATGTGTCACATTACTTGAGTGACCTGCGGTTCAGAGTCTGGAAGAAGCTGCAGGAAACTCTCCAACACAGTGAGTCTCCAGACACGAGTACAAAAGATTAAATAGTTAAGAAACAAAGACAGACAGATCAACATTTGATAGAAATATATCTAATAATCACACTAAGTTCTATGAATTTGAAGTGAATCTGAACTGTATTTCATAAAATCATCAGATCATACAGCAAACTCATGATGACTACAAAACAGTCTATTCTTCATGGTGTATGTTTATGTAAATAAATTTGTATTTCTAATATATCATCATATTTTATCGTATAATCTGATTTTATTCTCTTTGCAGCTCCGCTGACTCTAGATCCAAACACAGCAGCTCCTTGGCTCACACTCTCTTCTGATTTGACCAGTGTGTCCTACAGTGATGTATATCAAAATCTTCCTGATAATCCAGAGAGGTTTGACAGGTATCTATG